AGCATCAAAGATAGGACTTCAGGTGAACATAGAGAAAACAGAGGTGGTGAAGATTCCTGGACAAGAACAACAACAACAGACAACGATCAGCATAAATGGGAGGAACCTGAAAGAAACAACCTCTTTTACATACCTGGGAAGCATCGTTTCAACTACAGACGGAACTGACGAGGATATCAAAGTGAGGATCGGAAAAGCAAGACAAGCTTTCACTACTCTCAAGTCTGTGTGGAGGTCAACAGCACTCAGCATCAAAAATAAGATCCGGATTTTCAACTCCAATGTGAAGTCAGTCCTACTCACTATACGGATCAGAGACTTGGCCACCGCGTCATAAAGAGCATCTCAAACAAACTACAGACCTTCATTAACAGTTGTTTTCGCTCAATACCACTCAAGATCAGATGGCCGGCCAGAAAAGATCAGCAACAGAGTTGGATCTCCGGGAGCGAACCAACCCAGTAGCAACCGATTGTGAAACAAATAGGCAGGAAGAAATGGAGATGGATTGGATTGGCCATACTCTGAGCAATGAAACCATCAAGTGACATCACTAGACAAGCCATCGCTCGAGTGGAACCCGAAAGGGAAGCGGCGCGTTGGTCGTCAGTGCAAGGGTGACTTGGAGGAGGTGATGTGAAGAGGATATGAAAGCGTGTGGGCAGACATGGAGCCAGGTGAAGACTCTAGCAGAGAACCGAACGCAATGGTGACGCTTGGCTGAAGCCCTATGTTCCTCTAGGAATTAAAGGAAATAATAATGCAACTTTTACTAAAGATCAGTAATTCATATTCTTCAAATGCTGCCTATTCGAAAGTATCTTTAACAGAACTGATGACTTTTTTTTAAAAATGGACTACAAGCATTACGACATACGAGTAGTATTCGCTTGTGAGGATGATTTTATGAAGAACCAATCACGTCGCGTATTTGTATTGGTGTTAAAATAAAAATTTATTTTTCAGTGCTTTTCAGTGCTTTGGAGCTTCGGTAGTTATTGTACTGATTTTTCTGGATAGTGTTGCTAACCATACACCCAACCTTCCCTCTTTTTTCGGGCGTATGTCTGTCTCTGTCTGTTTTCAACATAGAACGTTGCATCGATATGCAGCAGTTCAAGTCACCACATTCCATGTAGCACACAAAGCAAGAGAAGAAAGTAGAACAAATGCAAAATAGAAACAGTAGACAGGGATACGAGACAAAAGGAATAGTAATAAGGAAGATCAATAGAGTTTCATTGGAAATTGTAAGTTACAAGGAGTGGATGCATCTGCGCTATGCATTGAGAACGATTTTGAGCCATATCACCGATGGTCTCCAGCCATTGGTGTTTACCGTCCCGAGGACCCCAACCAGTCAGGAAGTCTACACCTTCCTACGTGACTGGCTTAAACTAACTGTTGTGGATTTCATTGACTGATGAGGTCATGTTTTGGTTTGACCACCACTGGCTTTTTTCCAGCCTGAACCTATGTCAGCTAACATTGCCCGTCGAGGAAGGCAATGACTAGGCTACGTAACACATATCCTAACCATCTCAATCGATGTAACTTCACAGCCTCGTCGAATAAAAAAATACTGGTTTGGCAATCGATAACTTCTGTCATTTTTTGCAGCCAACAAGGTATACAAATATCCGTTAAAAGACGTGTATATTGTGTATCCATACGCTCTAGTCTTCTTTAAGGATGTGAAACATGAGGGCAGAAGGTGGGAAATTTGAAGAAGCTAGCTGTATTGACCATTCATGACAACCTTTAACTCCTCACACGATGAGAAGTTGCATTGACTGAGATGTCTAGGACGTGTTTTAGGCGTCCTGAGCGATTAGTTTTCTCGACCAGAACTGTTGGACTAGGGTGAAAAAGAGTTAGGCGTGGTCAGACCAAAACACACTGACAATCCAAAGAGTCCTCGACTGTTGTTTTTGTGCAAAAGGGGTTATATATTACTTAGCCTGGGTCTTTGGGATTTATTATGATGATTATAATTTGTTTCTTGTGTTTCGAGTGGAAAATCGGTTTTCTGAAGCAAATCCTCAGCGTACTCTGTGATCTGACATCATTTTCACCTGGGTTCTTTGTTGCCTCTTTACATGATCCTCACAGGCCACTCGAGATAATTAGCCCAACGTATCACTTCCCACTAGGGTTTACTCGACAGTAAGCCTGAAATGTGACGTAATTTGAATATGTTCATCGTTTTCGGAATATGTGTGGAGCAATCAGTTCTAAAGTGACTGTCTATCCAGTTTCCTTGTTGACTGTATATCTTTTCTGCCCATTTAATATTAAATATCGAAGGAAGGCACCTGTTAGTAGACGTTTGCAGTAACCTGTTGGAACTGCTGTGTGTAGCGTGCATGCTGAATTTCTGAAACATGTACATATATATATTCGTGTAGAAAGTTCGGATGCTGTTCGTTGTGTTGAGTACTGCAGATTTCCACATAGATTACAGAGTAATCAATGGTCGTTTCGCTTTCCTGATTCAATCTTGTCTACATTTGACACAGTCATCCGTGTCTCCAGTGGATAAGACAATGCTGCCTACCCAGGTGAGCGAAAGAGACGACTTCCTCAGGATGCGACAAATCAATGTTTAAAGAGACATTCACTCCGTGAGATGCCTGAGGTGCATCAAATCATCGTTATCCTTTCTAGTCCCTACCTTTATGTGTAATTCTTGGAAATGTATTAATTTTAATCGATACACTGTTTCTCAAGCAGTTCAATTCACTTCACTTCTTATCTCAACCAAGAAATTAGAAATAAAAATCCTGAAACATGCACTTTCAGCTTTACTGAAGAATAAGTCAAGTTTTCTTTTTTCAACCTCTTGAATCAGAGTAGCCACCTCATAGTCATGTGTGTGACAGAACGAAAACTAAATTCTACACTTATACTTACGAATCTGTTTCGATTGCTCTGACTTAACCCTACCTTAGAAACAGCAAGAGTCGTGGTATTTGTATAACTTGACTATAGGCTAAGTTGAAAGATAAATAATACATGGAAAGTTATGTAAAACATATCAACACAAACACTGAACACTTCAGTTAGGTATAAATCAATCAATCAACCAGAGAATTCAAAGTAATTTCAACGAATAATGACTGGTACTTGTTACACAAACAAGCGGCGCTCAGGGTGGCCTAATGGATGGCGCTCTAGCTTTTGAGACGATCGGGAATGGCTAGGTTCAAGTCTCGGGGGGGGGATACTATTACTCAATCACTCACTCACCTACTCATTTACTCACTGGGATACATGCATACCCAGATGGCAAGTCCAAATTAGGATGAGATACGCTTTCCTGGATTCTACTGCTAGTCGCCAGCAACTAGATAACACTTAAAACTTCACCCGATGAGTAACTGTTTCATCTTCCTGCAAAGTTTCTGAATTAGGTAACAAAAATACCAGGAAGAATAGAATGAACGTTTAAGCACTACGTAGACTAATACCACGTCAATCATGTACATTCCGTCTGATATTATAAACAGGGAGCGCTGAACAGTTATTGGACGGGAACTAATGGGTCATGTGTCTAGTCCTTGGGGTGTTGCGGCTGACTGAATTCTATCTACTAGTCAATTTCGCAATATGGTGGAACACCAAACAAGATGACTAAAAGGTCAATTGTGAACTCAGATAGCTCAGTGGAAAAATCTCTGACTTCGTCAAACAAATAAGGATTTGTAGATGGTTGGAGGCGATTCTCTGGAAGAATTGACTGACTGAGGCTTCTTACTTGTTGGCACTCATCAGTACTCAAGGACTATGTACAGTTTCGAGACAACTCATGTCCTCACTGAGATCTGAATCCTCATCCCCCACTACTGAAGTGAGAGACGTGCTACCAGTTAACTGTTTGATCTCACAATTAACTTTCTTTAGGAATTGTAATGGATGGAACGGTTGGTCACGCATCTAGTTCTTGGTCTGTGTCGATGAAGACTGAATACATTCAAAAGAATAGACACTGAACTGAATACATTCAGTTCGGTTTGAAATATGATAACCAAGCCAGGTGGCTTCATACTGCAGTACAATCTTAATTGATGTTAGATGGTTGAAACCGACCCTCAGGAAGTCCTGGACCTAGGTTTTGGGCTTGTTGGCAAGCCATATTTTTTTTTATTCCTTCACGTTCCCAGTGGAACATAAAGCTTCAAGCTAGAGGCTTGAAGTTTCTGTAGCAGTGTTTATTTTTACAGGATGGGGTTGCTAGCCTCATGCCCAACCTTCCCTCTTTGCCATTTCTATTACTAGCCTATCGAAGTAAGGGAGGAGTGCGTCAGCCGGGGATCGAACCCCGAACCATGTGCATGGTCGATGAGCGTCTTAACCGCTGTGCCACCGACGCAGGTTTTGGACTTGTTGGCAAGCCATATATGCCACCTTAGAGGAACTCAGGTTCCCTTTGAGATTCTCACTTGTATTATGTAGTCAGGGTCATTACCACTGAGGTCTTCGGGCTCACAACTGACCGCTTGTTAGACTTTAATGGATACACTGACTGGCCACCAGGGAATTAACCAATGTGTCATGTGTCTAGTCCATGGTTTTGGTGTCGGTAAAGACTGAAATGCCTATCAGTCAAGTTTTCAATTTTTGATCAACAAGCTTACAGACTGACTTCAGTTTATATAATATGTATGTTGTGATGATGACCTAAGCGTGCGTCCTTAGTTCACATGCTTTTCATTCACCTACACTTGTGCATTTCAGTTTGCTTACATGGTCATGTACTGGAGCTAATTTACATATATGTGTATTTATAATTGTTTTCGTTTACTAGAATGTGATGATTTTATATTTGCGTATATGAATTAATAGTCGAATGAACACCTCGCTATTGATGTACGTCTTATGTTATCCACATATCCATATTCCATTGTGCATACTCTGTCAGTTTGTATCTCGATATATATACATATATCTTTGTGCGTGTGTGTACATACCATTATTTATTTCCTTCTTCTCTTCACTTGTGTGTGTATGCGTGTTCGTCCTCTTTCTTTAATCAGAACTCGGACTGGATCACAATTCACGTTTACATGCAAGACATCGAATATACGAAGAATACTTGAAAAGTTTAGAGAAACGATACAGTATTAAGCTAAGTGAATCTGATGTCTACAGTCCTTCAATGAACGATGATTATCAGAATGATTCCATTGGATATGATATTCTACCGGAAAGTTTATTAATGTCAACCAGCACTGCTGCTGCTGCCACTGCTCCCGATAATGTTGATTATGTTGATGATGGTCTTTACTCCACACTGACAACAGGACAAACTGATCAATCGATGTCAATTTATCAGATGAAGACACGACAGAGTACAACAGAAGAGAAGATAACCGCTAGAAAATGTAAGTATATAACCTGTGATAACTTTTTTTAATCTTCATGCATACTCCTCAGCCGTGCGTCGGTGGCACAGTGGTTAGGACTCTCGCCGACCATGCACATGGTCCGGGGTTCGAACCCCTGCCGGCGCACACCCGATATCTATGGTATGCCTGAATTTGGGCAACCGATATCCATGCTGAAAGTTCCACACTTGTACTGAAAATACGGTGTGGAAATCAAGCTGTAAATCAAAAAAAAAAAAAAAAAAAACCCCATCCTGTAAAAATAAACACTGCTAAAGAAACTTCAAGCCACTAGGTTGAAGCCCTATGTTCCACTGGGAACGTGAAGGAATAAAAAAAATAATCCTCATCCAGGCATAAATGAAAACACAGAAAACAAAAGTAAATGAGTAATTCAGCTAAGGAGACGCTCTATTCGGCAGATTCCTTTTCTTTAGCTGCAGAATTTAGTGTATATTCTAAACACTAACACAATATTCACTAAGAAAATCAATAAGCTGTCATAAGCATAGAGATGCAAATATTATTAATCCGTGCACAAGAGGAGTTGAATAAGGCTGAATAGAATTAAGCGATGAGGTAAATAATTTAATGAGCGAGTTGTAGTCAGCATTCAGATAAAAACCAAAGCAAATGTTATATTACATTGAGGGTTTGAAAGAAATAAAAGATTTTAAAAAAGTTATAAAAATCAAGTTGGATAAAAAAAAGCAACAAGGTCATTATCACGCTAAGTGGCTCCAGAAGCAAATAGAATCTTAGGGACCCATTAATGGTGAGAACAGGCGACCTAACTCCTCTATTGCGAAACATATTATAGAGACAGGACATAAAATTGATGCTTACACTTCTTTTAACCTGTCTATAAAATGTGTTTGGGAGTATCGTAAAGTTGGTGGAAGCCCCAGTGTGATTATGAACTTTAAACCACCTTTATGCTTTCAAAGTAACATTTCGTCATCACACTAAACCTTCCTTGGTAAACTTTGTTTTGATTTTATAACAGATGTACTATTACCCCTGTTTAGTGATCTTCATTGTTATTTTGACCTTCAATATGTCCTTCTAATTTGACCTAAGTTATTTTCTCACCTCTTAACTCTTTGTTAATTTCATATATATATATATATATATATATATGTGTTAAGTTATTTTAAAGCGCTACAGCATGTATATCTTATAGTAACGTGGTTTTTCGTAAAAAATAAGTGATTTCTGTGTTAGGGGGGTGACAACACTAAAAATAAGTTGCATAAATCACTGACGAATCCTTAACCAGACATAGTGAAATACAATGACTAGAATTCACAAGACTAAAAAGTCAAAAATTCATGTGTGGAAAGTTTAATGAGGTCTTTTTTATTCCCTTACTTTACCAGTGGAACATACGGCTTCAAGCTAGAGCTTTGGAGTTTCTTTAGCAGTGTTTATTTCTATGAAATAGGGTTGCTAGCCTCATGCTCAACCTTCCCTCTTTACCAGTCTTATTACTGGCTTAGCGAGGCAAGGGAGGAGTGCGTCTACCGGGGACGGAAGCCCGGACCACGTGGGTGGTCGGTGAGCACTCTACCGCTGTGCCACCGACGCACATCTAATGAGGTGATGATATAGTACAGTGAGTAAAACACAAAGGGTGAAAAATCAAGTCTAGTATGAAAGTCAAACGGAAAAAGGGGGAGTAACAAAGCGCTGCAAAGCGAAAACAAAGAACTGCATAGGTGGGAATTAACAGAGTAACTGAACTCACATGACGGATTTCTTTTGAACATACAGGTCAGATTTCAGACATTTTATTGTGTTTCGGCTGTTTTGTCTGTTGATTATTTTGAATACTCCTTTTAATCGACTAATTTTTGGTAGGGGTTAAAGAATCTGAGATAAGTTCTGTTCTCTGTCTTCACAATGTAATTGCTTCTTCAAATACGCCTGAACTGATACACTTAGTAGTAGGTAATATATAAGAGATGCTTCTGATTCTGACTATGCCGACAACCAGAATGTGTGGAGGGGGGAGACTGGTTGTGCTGTAGGATACTTCCTGGTCAATGTTGTACTATAAGGTTTATTTATCACTGTCACAATATTATCAACTTTGAATTTAATTTAAATGGTAATAGGTGTTTTAGTCGACTGTAATTATATCCGATTTTTATCTTCTTCCTTGGCATATTTGTTGATGAAGTTTTCATTAAGTGTGCTGTCAGCTTAAGAGTCTTTGTCTCAGTTGTTTATGCACTAGACCGTTTTCATATAAATACTTTCCTGGTCTTCTTCATGGTGTCTCAAACTGAGCCCCTCTAAATGTTAAACTGTTGATTTCAGTTTTGAGAGGTAGGTGGGAGTAGAGTGAACTTCTTCACTTCCAAGATTCATGTAGTGTCGACGACGCTGTTATACGGAAGTAAGTCAGCTTCTCTCCTGATATCTGTTAGTCGTCTAATATACTGTTGATTTACTAAGCAGGCCTTCCTTTGACCGACTATACATGGAAGTTGAGACTTTTCGGCATATCTCTGAGAACTCTTTTAGAATTTATTACATCGTATATTCTAGATATTCTTCTTCACTCTTCCCTGGGCTTCTACAAAAAGACTATGCCATATTACTTAAGATGTCTGAAGCTGTAAGTCGAATTGGTGCTGTGCCTTCCATCCAACTAATTGACATTGTTGCTGACAGACATTTAAGTTCGCGCAAGCAGTTGATCGTCATGAAGTGCTGCTTTCTGTCGGTACTGAGTATCAGATGGCCTCAAAGGATCAGCAACAGGGAACTCTGGGAACAAATCAACCAGGAACCTATTGATGAACAAATGTGTAGAAGTAAATGGAGGTGGGTGTAGTGGACACACACTGAAAAGATGGTCAAGTGACATCACACACCTGGCAGACCACCGAGTGAAACCTGAATGAGAAACCACGAGTGCGGCGTCCAAGAGTGACATGGAGGCGATCGTGTGAAGAGATGTTATCTTTTCGTATACTGAACAGCCTCTTCTATATTCACACATTTTTCCCTTAGGGAAAACTAGAAATAATTTCACTGGAACTTATACTGGTCCTACTCTATACAGCGCACCTCTTGTGTAATGAATGAAATATCAGAAAGACTAAAAAAAACCTACTCTTTAATAAGCTGTCAATAAAACAGCTATCTATATTTATAAAAAAAAGCAATAGCAACACAAATGGAGTGGGATAAAACGAATTCATTTCATTTCTTCTGTGTCTCTCTTGTCAACCAGCTGTTTAAAACCCGAATGAAAGGAAGTTAACAGTTTCATAATAATTTGAACATTAATGAAAACAAAACACGTAGATCAGCGAAGAGTCTCTTTTCGGCGGCCAATTCATTTTCTTAGCTGTACACTCGCAAATATATATGTGTCATTTTGTATGTATGTGTACATTAAGTTTGTCAAACAAAATTACAATTGGTTATGGTTATTTTAATTAAACAGGTGAAGATTAGTAATACAAGTCAAGAAAAATTAGGTGTTAGTGAAATTAGGGTAGTAACAAAGGTGATGAGTTGTCACAAACAGTTGTTAAAAAGAAGTTATGTAATAATATGAATAGTTTGATGAGTGAATTTTACTCAGGATGCACATAGGAACAAAGTAGATAATACGAAATTACGTAAGAGTTCTAAATGAATACAAGAATCATAAGCAATTAAAGAACAGGCAAAGAAACAAAATTAAGTCATCAAAATCAAAAAAATCAAACTAAATCAAAAAAGTTGTTACCAAGACAGTAGAAGTGGTTGAGTAATCCTCTTTTGTATGCACAGCTCCGGTTTTTCTATGTGAATGGCCAGAGCTTCAGTGATACAAAGAAGACGAAACCGTATTGCCTTTGATAGGTTGTTCTTGACTCTGTAGATTACTTTGAAGGAGGCGTTTGCTGAAATGGAATGATCAGTGTTGACTAGGTGTTCAATTATCTCACTCCTTATTGCACCACTATTGCCTTTTCTGCAGATCAGTGGGCGACTGGAGATCTGCAGAAGCCTCAAGGACAAGATCCCGTATCTGACCACTTCTACGTGCGTATATCAGTTCACCTGCTGCTGTGGAGCCAGGTACATCGGTCGTTCAACGCGCACCCTGTCCAAGAGGATTCAACAACACTATCCAGCATGGTTGCGAAAAGGCAATAGTGGTGCAATAAGGAGTGAGATAATTGAACACCTGGTCAACACTGATCATTCCATTTCAGCAAACGCCTCCTTCAAAGTAATCCACAGAGTCAAGAACAATCTATCAAAGGCAATACACACACACATACACATATTGTGACTGAAGCTCATTTAGCTAGATATTGGATATATCAAGCAGGACGTTTAATAAACAATGATCTAACAAAGTATCTATATAAACATTCTCTTAGAAACCGTATCTTTATCTTCGCTAGTGAAAGCTTGACGGAGTAACTCAAGAAACTTTCCAGCTCCTTCGCCATTATCGGGTCCTCACAGCGTTTAAACAACTCAAAAATCCCAGTTGAGTCATATAAAAGTAAAGGCGTTCAGTGAAGAGTTACTCTTTTCGGCAATATCCATGTTTAGATAGACGTTAATATTCGCAGCTGTAATGGAAATCACAGAGACTCAACCATATCCGCCCGGATTACAGAACGCTCAAGCGATACACACTTAACAACATTGATTCCATTCAGTCACGTGTTCCTGAACTAGAACGAAGTGTCTACTTACGACTTCATGTAGCCTACCATCTAGATCAAGAACTACGCCAATTCTTCGAATAATATGTCCAAGAAGTCACACAGAAACAATGTGATAAGACCAAGGGAGATCTAATTAAAAGCCGTGAAGTTACCTAAAAATACTGAACCCATTGACTGTTTGAAGGGAATTCTATTGAGATCCACCCTGAATGTTCAATTCTCTTTTGATGACGAAGTATATCGAAAAAAGATGGTATAGCTATAAGCTCACCACTGGGCCCATTTTTTGCAGATTTTTTTCATGTCAAA